TTTAAAAAAAAAAAAAAAAAAAAAGGAGATTGGGATGGGCATGCACCAGAGGGTCACTTGACCTTACCTCTTAAGTTAGAAACAACACAATTAGTTTTTTTATAAGTGTTTGTGTTTTAGTTATTTAATTTAATTTTAATCCTTACCCAAAGATATTTTTTTCCCATTGATTTTTAGAGAGAGTGGAAGAGAGAGGGAAAAACAGAGAGAAATTGATTGGTTGCCTTCTGCAGGCTCCCCAACCAGGGCCTGGGACGGGGAGGAGCCTGCAACTGAGGTACATGCTCTTGACCGGAATGGAACCCGGGACCCTTCAGTCTGCAGGCCGATGCTCTATCCACTGAGCCAAACTGGCTAGGGCCAACACAATTAGTTTTGAAAGTCTGAAAATATTTTTCACCCTCCTAATCATTAAGAGTTCTTAAATGTAGCCAAACCGGTTTGGCTCAGTGGATAGGGCGTCGGCCTGTGGACTGGGGGGTCCCGGGTTCGATTCCGGTCAAGGGCATGTACCTTGGTTGCGGGCACATCCCCAGTGGGGAGTGTGCAGGAGGCAGCTGGTCGATGTTTCTCTCTCATCGATGTTTCCAACTCTCTATCTCTCTCCTTTCCTCTCTGTAAAAACTCAATAAAATATATTTAAAAAAAAAAAAAAAGAGTTCTTAAATGTAAATAGGAAATAAAATGCCAAAATTATGTAAGAATCACGGAGTACTGAAGACTAAGACCTCAAATTAACTATCAAAATTACTACCACCAATCTGCCTACCATCTACTTCTCTCCAAAAGTAAGCTTCATTTAAATTTACAAATGACATTTGGTATCAGAACGTATTTTCTCTGTTGGCATGACTGCTGAGAAGGGTTTCTATTTGGGCACTGCTATTTTTTTTTTTTTTCAGATAGGAAGGGAGAGGGAGAGATAGAAACATCAATGGTGAGAATCATCAATCAGCTGCCTCCTGCACACCCCCCACTGGAGATCACAACCTGGGCATGTGATATGACCAGGAATAGAACTGTGACCTCTTGGTTCATAGGTTGATGCTCAACCACTGAGCCACGCTGGCCAGGTGGCACTGGTATTTCTTGAGGTGTCTTTCTGCTCTTGTCACTTCACTGAAGTATTTTTCTTACAAAAGGGACTCTCACCCTAGAAATTAATCCTAATTTTAAGAAAGCAGGTGTAATAGAAATTTAACCAGCAAGTTGTTCCATCTGCATTTGTGGATATTCACAAGCGAGCCTTACTTTCCTACGGTGACTTCATCTCATTTTTTCCTGACTCAGCGCATCCTTACAATGGCTTCAAAGAGCTTACAATAGCTTGTAGCAGTCACCCCCAGGCCAGAGCTGGCTACTCTAAGGCACTTGAAAGAGTCTATTTCATTATGCAAGTGAGATGTGGGGTGATCTTTGCTGAGGACATAATTCAGAGGCCACCTCAGCAGATCACATGGTGTGAGGCAGCTGAACCGAGTGGCAATGTGAGCAGCCAAAAACAGCTTGTTTTTATATTCTATGGTTTCAACTTGGCCTGAAGAGAGTGTGAGTTACTTGAGCACACAACTGTTAAATAAACAAACGGACCCACATTTAGCATCAGGAAGAGGCTTTCCACTCTTACAAGTTCCTAGGCAGGTGAATTAAAACACAGAGATGTACTGTGACAGGTTGCAATTAGCTAGAAGGAAAAGCATTTAAATTTCTTCACAAATAGACATATAAGTAGACTGAGCTTCCATCTTATCACATAATACTTGACATTTAATTTGTAGAAGTGCTTGCCAGAAACTAATCATGCCTGAAATTAAAAGTCTTTTCATTTAATTTAAATTTTATAAGCAGATGAGCTGAGTGGGTGTGTGTATGCTCATGCTCCCCTTCCGTCTGTCTCAGGGCCTTTGCACATCCCCTAGATATCTACAGATGTCATTTCTTCCAAAAGAACCTCCCTTACTACCTCCATCACTTTGTCGTTTCCCCTTATTGGAGTTTTCTTTATAGCATTTATGGCACTACCTGAATATTTTATATTTGCTTGTGTGTTTCCTGAGATGTACACTCCATTGGGGAAGAAACATTGTTTTGTTCATTGTGATGTTACCAATGCCTAGAAAAGAGCCTGTCACATAGTAATCATTCAATAAGAATTCATTTGATCAATCAATGATGTTCCTGCTATTAGTAGTCCAATTTATTTGGCCAATGTTGAGTGAAATGGATTCCTTTAGGAAAGGACTTTAATTCCCAATGTGAATCTCCAATAGTATATGGAATAAACAGTATATGGTGTTTCTCAAATTTATTTAGTCATAGAACTTTTTTAAAAAGAGGGGTACCTTTACCATTTTGGGAAACTCATGCTATGAGAAACAGGGTTCAGGAACTGTGGTAGGAGAGCATGATTTCCTATGGTGCCTTTTAGAGATTTAAAAATAATTACTGTGTTCTGTGTAAAGGCTTTAATTTCTGATCTTTTAAATTACACACAAGCATCCTTTCACATCACATTTCCGCTCAGCCATTGTTGCATGTACAATTTTAGTCACAAATTTCATACGGTCGTCAGGAACATTTAAAAAATATTTTAACTGCTGAAAAAAAATCTTATTCCACCTGGCAGTAAACATGTGGTTAGTTATATGTGTAAATATACATAAACACAGTATGTATAGAAGATGAATAATCATATAGGAAAGATATATTGATATTCTCCTTCTTCGCCTCCCCCCCCATCTTTTCCTTCACCTTTACCAAAATAAAATTTTGTTTCTTTTTAGGCAGGTACAAATGAAGAGCTAAAAGAAGTATGTGCTCATGTGATTAAAATTCTTTACTAATACTTATAAAATATCTCATTAAATCAGATTAGTCATTTGGCTAAATGTTGTATTGGTAAGTCTTTTTGGAAATAATAAAGTAAATGTGAATTATACATTTTAAGAATTTATGGTAAACTGTAAGAGTCAGAGCCCTACCAATGAATATACACGTCCACCTGTCCACACCTGTGGGCAGTCCTCTGCCTCACTAACTCTGGGCTTGCCTACGTGACTTCCCAGGGCACATGAGCAAATGGGATGCAAGCAGAGGTGTGCAAAGCTTTGTACATGGGCTTCCTCCCTCTTGTCCTGGTGTTAGAACTCGCTCTTGCTGCTTTTAAGCTGCCCACACTGAAACTGGAGATGATTTACAGCCTCAGGAGTGACCTGAGGAGAGACCCACAGAACTGCCCCGCTGATCCCAGTCCAAACTGCTGACTCACAGAACTGGGAGGAGGTAAAGGGGCTAAGTTTTAGAGTAGTTTGTTAAGTAGCAACAGATAATAACTGATACAAATATAAAACTGTACTGCTAGCACGTACGTGTTACTTTCACATCTCTTCAGTGACTAGGAAATCATTCCTTAGTGGGGCTTCTGCTCAATGAAAAATATGATTATACAGCTATCAAAACTCCAGCTAAATTTATCATTTGTTTATTTTACAACTGCACAGAGTTTATTACATCCACATAGTTGTCTTTGAAATTTATTCTCTTAATTGGGTAAATACTCCCTTAACAGGTAAAATGTATGCGGAAGTGCCTAGTGCTATAAAGTGTTTAGAATATGTGGAGGTTCAACGAAGTTTCTGCTTGAAATCCTTAAGCTTTTCGCGGCTTGGCAAGCTATTCTTTTCTCAGCATGCACATCTGAATGAAGAAAATGCCAAAATAATGAAGTTTTACTATTTATGCTATAGTCCACCTAAAAACTGGCATGTAGGACTTGTTCAAATGAAAGATTCCGAAGTTTTAAAAGAATGTAATGATAAAAGCATGCAGTAAGAATGTTAAGAGATTCAGAATTCAATATTACGCAGCTAAAAATAATTGATGTTAAAAAACTTAAATTCAGCCCAGCTGGTGTTGCTCAATGGTTGATCACTGACCCATGCACGAACCAGGAGGTCACGGTTCAATTCCCAGTCAGAGCACATGCCAGGTTTCGGGCTCGATCCCCAGTGTGGGGCGTGCAGAAGGCAGCCAATCTATGAGTCTCTCTCATCATTGATGTTCCTATCTCGCTCTCCCTCTCCCTTCCTCTCTGAAATAAACAAAAACATATTAGTATTAAGAAAGAAAGAAATAAAAAGAGAAAAAAAATTAAATCCAGTGTTCGCTGTAAGCCCTAACCAGCTTTTGCCGGTGGACCCTAATATTCATATGGATTCATTTATTTGCAAGTGGACCATTTTAGTAGCTGTACAAAAGTCCTCGCCCTTAAACCAGGTCCTCTTTCAGTGTTTGCTACCTCAGTGCAAGGTACACCACTACTAGAAATCTAATAATTACCTATATCAGTCTTCCCTCCCTTGCCCCTCACCCTCCCTCCTTAAGCTACCAAGTCCTGCTGACTTTACCTCCTTCATGTTTTTCAACCATTCTCTCCTTTCCCAAGCCTTACCCACCCTAATCCAGACTTATAATCTCCTTCCTGGACCGTTACAATTGCTTCCTAGTCTCTTGTATTAATTATTCTTGCCACCTGCTCTTCAACCAAATCTCTTCTATTCACAATAGAGTGATCTCCAAGATGCGAATCACACACTCATGCTTCAAATATGCTGATGGCTTCCCAATGCTCTGAGTAAAACCAAAATCCTTAATGATTTGTTGCTCCATAAATGTAAATTTAAAACAAACTCTAGATCCCTCTTTCTCTTGTTTCCTTATCATTAATAACCTTACTTTTCATTCTCTTTGGTACAATTTATGTTCACAGTTACCTTCTCGGTGCAGGACCTGCCACTCTCCCGCAATCCAGGCCTTCCTCGATGCATATAAGATAGTGTAGCGTGTCACAACCGTCTCTGGGCCGTCGGGGGGTTTCCAAGAAACCAGAGCAGTGTCATCCTCTATCAGGGTCACTTTTACTCCAACTGGCGGGCCTGCTGGTGCTGTGCACACATGCAGAAAAGCTGGTGTTACTAGGATGGAATGGTCACACACACACACACACACACACAC